TCCTCCTCCTCCTCCACGTCCTTCGGGGGCGCGCAAACATGGATTAGCGATCCATGAATTTGGCGCGCGGTCGCCAACTCCATGGGTCGGGGGAGGTGCCCTCCTCAAAATGCGGCCGGTGCCGCCTCGCTCGGCGGCGGAAACCCGCGATTCCCCATTGAAGTGGGACCCGTGAGATCCATGTCTGCGACCGCCCGAGGGGGGGGGGGGGGCGCGAGAGCCGCCGTGGGCCACCCAACCGGGCTGCCCCCAGGAGGGACCACGTGTTCGCAGTGGAGGCCCGTCCACAGGAGGCCTGCCACCAGAAGCCCAACCCCGAGGCCCCAGGGCGTCCGCGGATTCCTGGCGTGGGAGCGTCGCGCTCTCCATGGCAAAGCCATCGAAGCCCAAGAAGCCCAGGGCACCCTGGAGGCACGCAGGGTGTTTCTTGGCATGGGCCCCCATTGTAACATGGTTGCCCCCTGATGGAACCACGCGTTTACGTGCCCAGGCCACCCCAAGGGGGCATCTAAAATGTCGGTCCCGAGCTTGAGCCGCGTCTCTTCTTCACGTGTCAGGGCCACGCCAAGGGGCATCCGACACGACTGCCCGAGCTGGAGCCACGTGTTTGTACCTGTGCGAGCCACCCACGGGGAGGGATCCGCGGGGCCTGGCGGCGCGCACATCGGGGCACATCCCCCTCGATGATCAAGCGCAATTTTTATCCCACGACGTGGCCGGGACGGTCGAAGTGGGTACGGGAAGAATGGGTACGAAGCCGAACAGCAGTTCCTGTTCATTTTGAACAGGACTCGCTGTCCGCGCCGCCGCGGACGTTCCTTGGAAACAGAAAGCCGCCTGCCCAACAGCGGCTGCTGCCGGTTCTGGACAACATGTGTTGCTGCGTATTGTGCCCATTTTTTCCGTACCCACTTCGGGCGTCCAAGATAGCGACGCCCCCTGGACCCCCCACTCACGATGCTGACGCCGACACTGCCGACTGCAATTTTTGTTGGTTGACCCCGCGGGCCGCGCTGCGCGCGTCCAGCAACATTGAAGTTCGGGGGCGATGGGGCTCGGACAAAAAAGTTGCGTTTGGTGTCAAGGAGGGTTGTATGGGAGAGGGGGGAAGGCTTCTTAGAAGGTGTTTACTTCTTAGAAGGCGCTGGCCTTACATCTATAGATGAGGCCCGCGCCTTCTAAGAAACAGGGGTGTTTCTAAGATCTTCTAAGAAACCGTCCCCAAACCCCCTACCCCCCTCTGCGCCTTGCGGAAGGGGGGTCCTCAGCTGCGGCACCCGTGGCCGTGGGACTGTGGACCTTTGCTCGGGCCACCCTGCTTGACCAACCTCGAACCTATCCGCATCCCCGACACTGACGAGCCAAAACGTGATGATAGTCTTGGTGCTGCACCCTCAGACACGGAGCTAGCCCTCAAGACCAGCATCGAGACGAGGTAAGGACAAGGGACTTTGCTCCAGGCTGGACACTTGCCACTGCTCGGACGTCTATCCCCCGTGCACTCTTCGGCCTCGTGCGCGTCTTTTCTCGCAGGATGACCCCCAAAGGTTTCTCGATGGTCCTCGCCGAGGACGGAATGCGCACGTGGAGGCCTCCTAGATGGGGTCAGCGTGGACGGGATCGGAGGATCGCGCCGCATCGCCGATACATCGCCGATGCATCGGCGATGCACCGGCGATGCACATCGGCGACGTGAAGCAAGCTGGGCCCCACATCGAGCCCCATCGTCGATGCATCGTGGTGGCGCGATCCTCCGGCCCCATCTCCTCGGACCCCATCTGGGAGGCCTACTGTTGAAAGAACAATGTTTGCACCAATTCGGTTGAGCTGCGAATCGGATGGCACTGCTGCTACCCCGCGCCCCCGACTGCAATATTGATACTCGTGACATCTCACGGGGCCCTTCGAGAAAAACAAAGATATATTCCACTTCAGCGTGCGCGTCAGCTCTCAACGTTCAGGTCGGGGACGGGGGGGGGTCGTATCATCAGCTGTCGTGCCGCCCGGGTGGTGCAAACCTGTTCCTTTCAACCGCAGGGCACCTCCGCACGATGCCAAGGCAACCCGTTCCCGGCTCCAGGCTGCCACCCCGCACGTTGCGCACCGCTCCGCGCGGTGCGCGACGTGCGGGCCTCTCCGCGGCTTCGCGCCGCCATAGCCCTGGAGAAGGACACCTCTGCGGCCCCGGCGGCGACGCAGGGAGGAGGGGGAGGAGGGGGAGGAGGAGGGGGAGGAGGAGGAGGAGGAGGAGGAGGAGGAGGAGGAGGAGGAGGAGGAGGAGGAGGAGGAGGAGGGGGGGAAGGAGGAGGAGGAGGGGGAGGGGAAGGAGGAGGAGGAGGACCAGTGTAAGCCCAAGACCCGTCAACGATGTTGGAACACACCCTCCCTCCAAGATCCTTCTTCATAGGCCCCTTACAGAGGGGTCATTTCCACTGGAGGAATTTCCCCGTTGGGGGACAACCGTATGAACATCTTGAGGCATGCCAAAACACCATTCTCG